TTTATTAATAAGAGACAGCTATAGGTTCTTTTCGTACAATTCATCTATGGATTAGTCAGATTAGTCAGTCTCTTTATCTGATTCTGGATTCATTCCTGGTTGCAGGAATCAAATCAAGTATTCTTCTACCTTCTGTGCTAGTATAACCGGTATACATTACAATATTAAACATCATCGCATATGTCAATATAGAACCCATTGCGATCAATTTTTCTCTCTTTCTATTATCTTCGAGTTCTTTTTATTATTATTATTAAATGTCGAGTTATTTACTGTTTGAAAACGCCTGTTGTCACACGAAGTCGTCTTAAGCTTACAAGCTTTAATGAGAAACTCTTGACCTTAAGGATAATTACATTCACGCAGTTGTTCTTAATTTGAAACTGCAATATTAATGTTAAAAAAGATATTTCGGAGACCTGTGGCTCGTCCTCTGGTTTACGCTTTCTCGTGTCATTCGTTTTTGTAGTAAATAAAATATAGGTGAACTTGCCGTGTGGGAATAGGTTCTTTTCATCTTTATACTACTTAGGGCATACCAAGAGTAGTGATTTTGACACTTTAATACCGTATAATAAGCTTTAAGAAATTTCTCTCTATATAGTCTGATAGAGAAAAGAATGCTCTATTTTTCTATGCTATTTGATCATATTTCAACTAAAGTTATAAAAACGAAATTCCTCTAAGAGCTGTTTTTTCGCATGTCTCACGGTTATACTGACGCTCATTTCAAAAAAACTGAATGAGTATTTTTTGAATAACTTTTGATAGAAACCAGACAGAGAGCTGCGGTTTTCACCATTGGAAAGAGCAGATAAAGATTCATCGAATGGGACATTATAAAATTTTCCGAGTTGCGTGTTATATGGTTTTCAATTGATCTTTTTAAGAACAACTCTATCCCGTAAGATGTTTACAGTGAAGTGTCAATAATCAGGTGCGCATTCAAACTACTAATTGAAGAACTACAAACTGCGGAAGGCTGAGATGAATAATACATATTCTAGTTGAGCCTTTAGTACGATTTTCTAGCAATTTCCGTGAGAAATGCTCACTTTTATGCTTTTTCCTTTTTTCATAAAAAAAACGTTTTCCCGATAGTTAGAAAATTGAATACAAATACTTCAGAAACCAATATTACAAAAACTTAGAATACACGATTCGATGCATCTTCATCTGTTCTTTCTAATGGTGAAAAGCGCAGTTCTCTATCGTGTTTCTATCAAAAATTATTCGAAAAATACTCACTAGCATTGCTGTAACCGTGAAACATGCGAAAAAACAGCTCTTAGAGGAATTTCGTTTTTATAACTTTAGTTGAAATATGATCAAATAGCGTAGAAAAATAGAGCACCCTTTTTCTATCAGACTATATAGAGAGAAATTTCTTAAAGCTTATTATACGGTATTAAAGTGTCAAAATCACTACTCTTGGTGTGCCCTAAGTATATTTTGTATCCCACACTCTGCTTACAAGAACAACATTTATTCATTAACTACGTAGAACTATATGATATATCTAGTCTTATATCTCAGTCGATTATGCTGCTTAACTTTTAGTTACCTCTAACACTATGAACTGTTTCACTTGGTTTCTTCTTAATATTTTTGATAGCAATAGCATCATTTTCATCAAATGTAAAACTTACATTATTTTTTTTAATTTTTATATAAGCTTTATTCTGTCAGAATACAAGCGGAAGAATATTCCATTATATTCCAAGAATATTCTAAACTAAAACTATCGAAAAACACAAAATCAATTTTTTGTACGAATAGAGATTCGAACATGTGAACTTAGCTTTGTAGTAAACTACAAAACTAAATTCACCGTTCTGTATCTATATTCTGTACAACAATTGAACTTGTGCAATCGACTCGATGTTATCAGTAGTCATTTTTTATTTTTGATATGATTTTTGTGTTCTGTTTTTTTTAACATTTACATTTGTTTCTACCGTCTGACTATTCTTATCTAGAAAATATTTATTATTCGTATCTTGTTTGATGTTCGTTATTTTTACACCATGTTTTTGTCTTAATGAAACTTTTATCGAATGATACAACGTACTCAGGTTTATATGATAAATTACAAAATTTACTAAGACAAAAACATGGTGTAAAAATAACGAACATCAAACAAGATACGAATAATAAATATTTTCTAGATAAGAATAGTCAGACAGTAGAAACAAATATAAATGTTAAAAGAAAACAGAACACAAAAACCATACCAAAAATAAAAAATTACTACTGATAACATCGAGTCGATTGCACAATTTCAATCGTTGTACAGAATATAAATACAGAACGGTGAATTTAGTTTTGTAGTTTACTACTAAGCAAACACTATTGGTAGCGTTTAGATTAGTCCACTCGCAATAGATACAACAATATAATATTATATTTGACTGACTTATATTATAATAAATCAGTCAGGGTGAGGCTTGTAAAATATGTCAATTTATTTTTTTTTAGGATCGGATTTCATTTAATGAAATTTTTATCGCATGATACAACATACTCAGGTTTATATGATAAATTACAAAATTCACTAAATGAAATCCAATCCTTTCTTTACTAACTACATCACAGCGACTGTGACTGTCGTACACGTTTCATCCTAGATTTTGTAGTCTATATTAGATTATCAACTTCTATAGTGCGTGATGAGACTCTAGGTGTTTCTGGTGCCATCGTGATGAAAATGATCGAAAAATACCTTTATAGAGGTCATAATTTATACGTTGATAACTGGTATTCCAGTCCTGCACTATTCGAAATATTACACCAGAAGAAAACAGGGGCTTGTGGTACTGTGAAAGTGAATCGCCGTGGCTTACCAAATTTCCAAGCCTTCGACCTCAATGAGAATGAACAGGTTTCTTTCCATACTGACATACTTCTGGTTCTCAAATGGAAAGACAAAAGGGGCGTGCATATGATTTCAACTATTCATGGGACAGAAATGACAACTACCAAAAACGTACATTACCAGACAGGTCGTCGAATTTCGAAACCCATTTCTGTCCAAGATTACAATGAAAATAGGGGACTTGGCGATAAATCTGACATGCAAATATCGTTTTCCGAGTCGCTCCGCAAGTCGCTGAAGTGGTACAAAAAGTTTTTTTTCCATTAGCTTGATATTTCGCTCTACAATGCCTGCGTACTATACAAACTGTAAACTGGGGAAAAAATCGCCCTTTCCGACTTTCGACTGAACGTAGTTCGGGCACTTATCGAAGAATTCGGCGCTCAAAAACTGGACAGTCGAGGCAGACCATCAATTGAGACTCCTGTCCGCATAACAGCAAGACATTTTCCATCAAAGGTGGAAAGCTCGAATGACGGGCGAAGGCGTTGCTTTGTCTGCAGTCACACAACTCGTGTTTCAAAGCAGGAAACAAAAACCAGCTTCGAATGCAAAGAGTGCAATATTGACTTATGTGTAGTGTCATGTTTCGAAGCATATCACACGCTGAAACATTTTTAATAAAAATTATATTGTAAAGAGCGGAGGTCATTGAGTCACGGACTTTTCAGAGATTGAGAAAGCTATTTTTACCTACCAGACGGACGAGCTTTTCACAAGCTGTAAGAAAAACCATTTTCCCATTAGATACGGACACATTCCTTACTGAAAAAAAGCCCGGCACGAAAGGGTTAACTATCAATTTTGATAATAGTATCATTCAAATAATCAAAAAATTACCGATGTATACGTATAGCTATTGTTCGCCGCAAGAAGAACGAGTATACAGTCTAGATCATGTATAGATCTCTTTAGTTCCTTATGATATGTATGATCGTTATTTACTATCAATCTAAGCACATTTCAATTTGACTTTTAATGACTAAACGATGTTTTACTATGAACAGAAACTTCTGAGGAAAGATTTTTATCCAATTCAACGAAACATGCTTTTGTCGTAGATTTTCCATCGTTCTTATTATCGACAAAAATTCACCGATAATGCCAGCGAAAATTCTGGAAGATTGGATATTATGGGTAAGTGATCTCTCGTAAACTCGAAGTTTTATTAATGACATTTTCTCTTTAGAAATTGTTAATGCTCCTGATATTTTTGCTTTTGTTCGTGGGACTGATTACGTTCTGTCTTAGAGCTCCAGGCTACTGGATATGGCAGTTGTGGGTTTATGTTGTATCTTCGACGTCAATGAAAACTGGTGGTGGGCAACGAAAGCAATGAACACAAAGAAAACAAATGCACAACACAAAAGAGTTTTACTGTTTGCTGATAACCAGAATACAATTCGATAGAATTTTTTTTCTTACCGTTGCATTTAACGGGCGAACCCAATATTTGTGAGGTCGACACTTCTTCACAAAATATTAACGGAAATCAAGCAATAATTTGCGCCTCCAATAAAATGTGAATGAGTTCCGCTGAACTAACAATGTTGGTCCCGAGCATACACCGTTTGCTCTCCCTGAGTATCGAAACTACATCCGCATTCAAATAAAGCATCACAGAAGCTGAAACCAACAACTCGGCTATTGTTCGTCTGACCAATTCCTGCTGTGAAGCCAGCAAGGGGTAGATCACGTAGGAGGAGATTCAACTTCCACCAATTTCCCCAAAAGCTTCAGCTGCTATTAGTCAGGTGGAAAGTAGTCGAGGCTCTATTTACGCTCATGTTCCCAAGAGTTTCGAGTACTTTCCATCTGACTAATAGCAGCGGAAGCTTTTGGGGAAATTGGTGAAAATGCAATCTCATCTTAAGTGATCTACCTGAAACTTATGTTTAGAAGACATTTTTCTGTCAAAATACTTTAAAGTGTTGCGTTTCTGAGAATAGGCCAAAATAAGCAAAATTTCATTTTTCTGTTTTTAAGATTCCGAAACTACTTTTCTCTGATTCTCTATCTAGAGCTAGAAAAAGCTAATTTTGCTATCTGTAGCGACAAAAATGCTTTCAAGGTTTGCCGAAAACGAAGAAAAAGATATACGAAGCATCTCAATCTGATACCTTTCTCAAGCATTTGATACTTGAATATAATTATATGTACTGTCAGCTACTAAAATTGCTGTATCATCGTCGCCATCGGCTATTAATTCTCGTGCAGACGTTTTTGTATAGTGTTGAATAATCGTTTTTCGATTTATGTGTGACAGACCGATGTGAAACGGTATAAAACTTGAGACCATACCTTTTCGAACACTTGCAGTGATGCGCGAAACTAAACGCTCCCTTCATAATTATAAATCAGAAGCTCAAACACTATTACAAAGCCCAAGTCGCAATTTAGCAAGTAGACAAGCAACAGCTGTACAATAGGATGAATTTCTGAAACTCGATGTGGATAATGAATACATTAAATGATCGGTGCAGTGTTCTTTTTTAGCTCTCAAACAACTGCTAGATGCATGTATTGTTTCACAGCATGTACAAGTTAACCATTCTTGCATGATGGTGCCATTGTACTCTGTCTCAATGTTCTTACAGGTATTCTCCATTAATAAATATGAAATCTTCTATTCAGAAGTGTATATTCTTTCTTATATATTACAGTGGATAAAAATTTAACTATTTCTTGTTGCGGAAACAAATAAAAGAATTAAAATATAAGTTCAAACATCAGTTCAAAACTAAACTGCTGGAAAAATCTAAATATCATAGCCTCATATTGCAGTAAAAATACGTTCATATCGTTACCTATATATTTAAAAAACCACCTCCGTTATTTACATCAAACGATTTGAATAGCACTGCAAGACCCTAGTAAAGATCACTAAAGTTTTCACATTTTTTGCTCCATAGGAGCAACGCTAACAAGCTTTCTATTCGTTGTAGTACCCTCACTCCAATGCGTCTGACGTTTAACTCGCTGGATCTAGAAATCGGGAACCGAGCAGTGCGACTACGAGGTCCTGAGTCTATGTTCGAGATGAGAACGATTAAATATTTAATATATTTAACATTCTATTACAATTCAAGTTGAAACTGTTGACGAACGTTATTACGTGTATGAATAGAGGCTACTGTTATCTTGGCTCACCAGCAAGTCAAATGAAAGATTTTCTATACTGGTTTACAGAATTGAACAACGGAGAAACAATTGATCAAGTGAGAACGCAAATACTGATGTTTCTATAATTAAAAATTTGGTCACGTATGTCGCTAGAGTTGTTCAGTAATCATCACAATACCAGAATCTGCTCATCTGAATCAATTTGATCGTCGCAAGGGCTATGGACACTAGTTCGCTCATCTTTTAGCAACACCGCGAATGACTTATCCTATAGTTCATAACATGTAAACTAATTTTCTTTTTTCCATTATGGACAAGGACACACGTATTTCAACAAAAATATTCTGTATTTCTTATTCGAGATATTAAAGAAAGCGGTTATTGTTTTACTGATAGATGTCGTCTAATATGGATGGAATTGGCTCAAGAATTTGTGGAAAGAATTGGTTTACCAGTAAAACAACTCGTACGAAAGTCTGTATTAGAAAAACAATTGTTGTTTGTTTAGTGTAAAATACTGTCATAATTTCAAATATGAATGTGTTACTAACTATCACTGTAGTTTATAGAAAATGACTTTTCTCCTTCTATCGAGTGCCTTTTAGTTTAAACGATCAAACAATACGTCTGTTAAGTGATGTCGGAAATAGAACTGATGTGTTTGAATCGCTACAATATCGAATGTCTAAAAGAGTTCTACGATGTGTGCCTGAAAATATCTATTTAAACGTGTTTGACAACGAATCCTAAACATAATTTGAAACAGTAAATAGTCGAGGAATAAAGTTTATTCACCTTTAACAACTGTTCCTTTTGATTTCACTTCGTATTGTGTGAAGCACTGGTCGTATTCTAATTGACCAGTAGGATCAGCGACACTAAACATATTACGTGTCTTATTCAATAGAAGAGGAATTTTATTTCGAAACAGATTTTCTTTGCTAAGTAAATCCAAGAAAAAATCCTAAAATTTTAGAAAAATGTGCATCCTGTCATCGGCCAATAACTAATGGATTTGCTATTTCTGTCGATAAAAGTGATTTTAGTACGCAAACAGAAAATTTTGAGCAAAATACATCTGCTAAAAAGTCAAATAGTAAATTAAAACACATGTCTAAAACAGAAACAAGCAGCTATCATAAACGTTCTGCGGTGGCTGATAGTTTAAGTAAAAAATGTAACTGGGCAGTCTAAGCTCCGAAATACTTCGTAGCATCTCAGAAAACCCGTAGGTCAACGTCGTCCATGTTTATAATATCCATTGTTTTTCTCGTGAATTACTCGACTTTATATATTCGATGAAGAATTTCACGAGCTTCAAAATGAGCTATAAATAAGTCTTTCAAAAATATGCTCACATTGGTCAACAGTTGAAATACTTGGGCGATATAATGATTTTCAGCTATCTTAGTGCTTAGAACACTCCGTTAGTCGTTTTTCTGCCATAACGAAAAATTATGTATTGTTCAAAAGCATACCATTAGATAGCCAATGAAATTCGCTACAAAGTGAGCTTGCCGCAATATACAGACAGGTGGGGCCAGTCATTAAAGATATGGAAAAGAAGCATTTGGGCGTTATCTGGGCGGTACTGTGTGTCATAATCACAAGAACCCCCTTGTTTTTGACTTTTAGTAACAGCTGGAACCAACCTGAATAATGTTTTGAATGGCCCGAAGATTTTTCTATAAGATGAGGTGCATATCGCCCTTTGATGAGAAAAGTTGATAATAAAGCTTCTAGAAAACCTAACCGCTGAAAAACCAAGTCCTTAGTTTTTGGTCGGAAAATTTTGCAAACTATGTAGCGTGATAGAGTGAAGAATTCTGAGCAAAATAAGACATCTTCCGGCATTCTATAGTGCTTTTTCACGTAACTGCAGTCGATTTACCACTAGCTACAAGGGGCGTGAAAGTTACCAACATATTCCGGTGAAAAAGCACTATAGAATGCCGGGAGATGTCATATTTTGCTCAGATTTCTTCGCTCTATCACGCATGCTACATGGTTTGCAAAATTTTCTGACGAAAAACTAAGCGTATTTGTAAACTACGCCATCACCCACCAACACCCCCAAACTGCCTGAGACCATTCTAGACCGACAGAGCGCGTCAGATAACCCTACACCAACACCCATTTGGATCTACGCCGGAGGTGCCCTGAACGAAATACTGCCACCAACACCCAAATGGACGGGTTTTTGAATCCGCTGATCCTCTCCATAGTATTCAGGACGTTGAGTTACTTATCGAAACGTACGTACATCACATACCCTGTTCCTCACTCGAATCTTTTAATCCGGTTGGTAACGAATGAAGGTTTCATGAGGGCGAGGGTGAGTGATCCTTGAAATCTTCATTCGTTACCGTCAGGATTAAAAGATTCGGGTGAGGGTGAGGAACAGGGTATGTGATGTACGTACGTTTCGATAAGTAACTCAACGTCCTGAATACTATGGAGAGGATCAGCGGATTCAAAAACCCGTCCATTTGGGTGTTGGTGGCAGTATTTCGTTCAGGGCACCTCCGGCGTAGATCCAAGTGGGTGTTGGTGTACGGTTTTGGCTATATCATGATCAGGATATGTTTTACTTAAAAAAATCGAATTTATATTCCGATTGGGATATAGCACATGAGACTCGACTGCCTGCTGTAACATTCTCAGTTTCTGCGAAGGTTGTAGCGGGCCATGTCTGTAACGTTTGACTGCAAAAATCAATTCATGGATCTTAATATTTTTAAATAAATACGATTTGTCAACATTAAATATTGATAGCTGATTCTACCATACGATAATCTCAGTGCTGCCCGTCTCGTCAGCAATAGTTAGATATACTTTCGTATTTTCCATTTGTTTTCGTTTTCTTCCATTTTTAACCGTATACATAAATGTTTTAGGTGTGTCAATAGAAACGACTTTTCCTATGATGATATTTATTAATAAGAGACAGCTATAGGTTCAAACAAAAATTTCATAAGAAAGTGATAAGAAGTTATAAGACCTCTTATCACTTTCTTATGACTTTCTTATCAGATTCTTATAAGACTCTTATCAAACTCCATTCACTTTCCTGCGTAATCTTATATAAGAATTTGATAAGAATCAGGTAAGATTCTTACGTGAATCTTATTGGGTACTT